AACCCCTGTGCTTCCCTGAAGTACCGGTGTGCTCTGCGATCTGGGACATGTGACAGCTGCCTGGTCCCCAGCATCCTCACCACCTCTCGGGCTTGGCGGGAGAACACAGGGGACCACAACCCCACACACACAAGCGCCGGAGAGCACGTGGCTGATTCCGGCTGGTTCCTCCATCTGAAGCCTCCTTTGAGTGTCAGGGGAACTTCCAATTTCAGAAAACCCCAAGATGCAAAACCACGGCAGGCCACGGGTGCAGGGACCCTGACCACACGTTTGTCCCTCTGCATTGTGAGCCTCCCAGCACCCAACGGCGCCCGCAGTGAGGTTGGCACGCTGAGCTCACAGGGCCGACACCGTGCTCCGTGCCAGGCCACATGGGCACCACCCAAAGTTCGCCCCACCCCGGGCATCGGAACTATTATTTCACATCAATTTGACGCCGCTGCGTTTTGTGTCTCTAAAGAACCGTGGCAGGAGGTACAACCTACGATGACAGATGCTGAGGACTCTCCAAAGCCAGCGACTTGCCCAAGGCCCCAGGGTGAGTGGCAGCACCAGGTCCGCACTGGGCTCTCCTGACTCCAAATGCACCCTCCGCACCTGACGGGCAGCGCTTTTCGCCTCGTGAAACCACTGCACCCTCCCCAGCAGGGCCGGCGGTCACGCAGTCACGCAGGTGGAGTCGGGCGGGGGAGGCTCCGGGAAGGGAAGGCTGGCAACCGGGGACAGGCAGAGCGGCCGAGAGCCTTGAGGTGCCGAGTGTGACAGAAGGCACCAGACCAGTTTAGAAACATCCAGATGGAGGAGGAAAGGAACCTGGGCAAGAGGGTGCCTCATGCCCAACACATCCATGTCCCAGGTGACGGCAGGGACAATGCGGAGCCGGCTCCGACAGCAGGGCAGCTGGACGGCGGGCCGTCTCAGCGACTGAGGACCCAGAAGGGAATCTCCGTGAAGAACTGGCATGCCCACTCCTCGCGCTGGACTGCCTCTCTGGCCAGCTCGTCTGCTGGCCCACGTGACAAATGACCTCACCTGGACAATTCCCTGGCTCCTTCCCACCTGCCCACTGAGTGCCGGTTCTAGCAGGGATTCCAAATGTGAATATAACTCAGGTCCGGCCTGGGGATCAAGGGAAGGAGGAGCAGGGAGCCACGCTCGAGTTGGAAGGAAGAAGCACATTCCTGGGGCTTCCTGCACTCATTCGCCGGGCACATGGCACTGAGAGCACATGGCATTGAGGGCATACAAGGGGCCAGGCACCATTCTGGGACGCAGAGGTGAGCGACATCCTTAGCTTGGCATAATAAACAAACAAGGATGGTGTATATAGAAAAATTGCATGTTAAGTACTACAAAGAAACAGAAAGCAGGGTTCACAAGGAGGGGGGAAGTGACACTCATTTTCATCAGCTGGTCCGGGAGCTGGCCTGTAAACAAAGAACTGAAGTGGGTGAGGGAGAAAGCCAGGGGGGCATCTGGCCCAGGCACATGCCAGGGGGCGGAAGCAGCAGGTACAAAGGCCCTGAGGTCAGTGTGAGCTTGGCCAGCACGAGGGCCAGGGGAGAAGAGAGAAAAAGCCCACATTCAGCCAGGGTCATCGAGGATGGGCATAAAGGCCCCCAGGGCCATAGTGGCAGGTGGGGATGGGGTGGGACAACCCGGGGCCTGAGCAGCGAGCCAGCCTGTCTGGGGCCTGGACGGCTCGGAGGGACCACGGCTGGGGACAAAGGGAGGGAACTGGGAAAAATCAGGCTAAGGAATGTAGGTATGGAATAGGCACTGAAGGCTTGAGCAACGGACAGCAGGCCTGGCCTAGGTCCCGCCTGCCGTGGGGCAGCCCTGCAGTGCCACCTGGGAAACCCCACAGCCGGTACAGAAATCCTAATTCACACGGCAACAGCACCCCACCAATATGGAGGGTTCTCAAACCCTCGGGGGGATCTCAAGCCCCACAAGCTCTGTGACCTTGAGGTCCCTGTCCTCCCCTGGCTCCCGTGTGTATCTGAGAGAGGACAGGGGCCCAGTGGAGGGCTGGCTGCAGGACAGGAGAGAGAAGGCTGCGCCCACGACAGCTGACTCAGCCTGTGCCAGCAGGCTGCTGAGGCTCCAGCTGGACCCGGCCCAGGTGGTGGGCGGGGCCTCAGGGAGGGGGAGGGGCCAGAAATCCTCCACAGGGCCCAGCCACCAGGGCCACCTTCTGGTGAGCAGTCATCTCCAACGTGACCCACGTCCGGGATGGAGCTGTTGACAGTGCCTCCACCGCTTCCCGCCGGTCCCCACACGTCCCCATTTGTCACAGCCACCCAGCAAGGTCAAGGCTGTGTCCCCCACTCTCTCTGCTTCTCTAAGGCCAGGACGCCAGGCAAAGCACGCAGGTATCTGCCACTTGTTCCGGAAGTCCCCTGATGTGTGCAGGGCCCCTGTGCCCGCCTGCCCTCTGGGACCGGCCCTGACAATAGAGCTTTCTCCAGGTCTTCAGATCCTGGGGCCACCAGGGACCCTCACCTGTGGTCCTCAGGTCAGGCACGCAAAACCAAAGACAAGGGTGGGAGGTGGGGAAGGGCTGAGGCCTGCGGTGGGGGGCTGTGCATCCAGGCTCTGCCTGCCCCTCCCCCGGCCCCCCAGACAGGCCTCACAATTGCCCAACTCCCGCCCAGCCCAGCAGGACGGCCGCCTCCCCATGGGCCCGTGGGCCCTCTGAGCTCCTCAGCTGTGTCTAGGGAAAATCGAGGTGTCTCAGAGCGCCGTCAGCTCCCCAGGGTGTGACTGGTGTCTTTTACAATTATCTTTCATTTTTATCTAGCACTTCTTTGCTCGGTTGGCAAACTGGATTATTTATGTGGCTTCGTTTCACAACCCAGCCCCTCCAATTATTCCTGGGAAATGAATGTGTGTGTATTTTTAAGGATTAGAAGCACTCAAAGGGGCAGCTCCTCGAACAAGAGGACGGCCCACCTGTCGGGCCTGGGGTGTCCGAGCAGGCAAGCGCAGGCGGGAGACAGTGAAAAGGGGGCTGTCACCTGCCGGACCCTCCTCCCAGTACCCACCTCCCCTCTCCAGCTCACACACGCAGACCCCACACCCCACTGCCCCGCCATCTGGTTCAGCCCACACTCATCACAGAGACCCAGGAACCTGGAGATGGAAAGGCAGGACTGTGCTCCCGAAAAATAGACCAGAAGTCAGAGAGACGGGCTCCCACAGAACACTCTCAGGGTGCCCCATGACTAGCGCCGTCGCCCAGACCCCCGCCAGCTTCAACTTGCTCCCTAATGCCCTGGACACCACTGCATCACTCACCACCCAGGGGACCCTCTCTGGCCACCCAGGAAGTAAGGACACAGGGCAGGGCACCCCGGAGGCTCGGGAGCAGGAAACCAGGCCTTGCCCCTTACGGGTGGACTGTCCAGGGGAGGAGGAGTAGTGTCCCCCCGCGCCCCCACCCACCTCGCCTGGTGGGGCAGGGAGGGGGGACCACTAGCACACGGAATGCTGAACAATGATGGGGCCACCCACCGGCTCCCGGCACCTGCAGGGCAGCTCCAACTATGTATCGGGAAAACTTGTTTCCTGTGCACCCTCAAAGCCTTCAGGTCATTATTTCAAAAACAACTGTCCTTTCTCCAAGAGCAAGAGAAAAGCGATTCCAGGAGGGGGATGACAAGGGGGTGGTGAAGGGATGGCGAAGGGGAAGGTGAGGCTGCAGAGGCCAAAGAGTGTTCAGTCCACAGCCTCCCTTGAAGGAGACGCCCCGGTGTGGGTGCCTCTCCGTCGGCAAGGCCATGGGGGAGGCGGCTCAACCACAGATTTGAATCTGGTCCCCGAAAGGCCAAATTTAAGCAAATGTGAAAAAATGAAGTCTTTCTCCTGTAAGTAAATACTAAGTTCAGACTGGCAGGGTCCATCTCAACCTCCGCTCCCAGTGAAACTCGGGCGGGTCGGCCACCCGCGGGCACCCCCACCCCCGGAACCCCTGAGCGCCCGGACCAGTCCATCCCAGCCTTGGCACACAGGCCCGCCGCCCGGCGCGAAGCCCAGCTCGGGGTCGTGGGGCTCGATGCTGGCCTGGACCACCAGTGCTCTGACCTCCGGGCAGCAGCGGGAAGAAGCCAGGCCAACCCTCAAGACCCCGCGCGGCGCCCCAGGTCCGCGCCGGCGGCCCAGAGGACCAGGTGTGTGGAATTTTTAATTGAGTTTTTCCCGCTGGGCCTCATTAGAAAGGGAAAAGGGGGAGGGGGAAGATCAGGGCTCGGCTTCCCGGGAGCCAGGGAACCCCGAAGCGAACCCCCAAACTCGGGACTTGCCACTGGGAAAGGGGACTTGGTGCCAGCGCCCTGCGGGGCTGGTGCTAGGGACCCCAGCCGCGTGGAACCAAAGCGAGCAGCCGCCCGCGGCCAGCGCCCCTCGTCCGCGCGGGGTCGCCCCTTGCCGCGGACTCCCCCGGGATGCGCGAGACTCCAGCAGGGCCCAGGGGGCGCCAATCCGCGCCCCCATCCCCCAGGGCGCCTGCATACCCTCTCCGCAGCCCCGCCAGGTCCGGAGGGCAGCGCTGGGGCCGCGGCAACCGCTCCCCTCACCCCCAACTCCCACCTTCCCGTGCCCCAGGCTACAGCCCGGGCCCCCCGCTTACCTGGCCCGGGCGCGGGACTGCGCGGCTGTTCCGCCGCCCCCGCCGGCTCGGTCCGCGAGGCCGCCGCCGCAGCTCTTTGTGAGCCCGCGCCGCGCCGCACACCGCGCCTGCTGACGAGCCCGGGAAACTGGATAGCGGCGGGCGCGCCCTGGACGCGGCGTGCGGCACGCAGGGCCGCCTCTGCCGCGCGCCCCGCACCAGCCTCTCCCGCCGCCCCCCGCCCGGGACACTGGTCGGAAAATGCTGGCGGGCCACCCACGCGACGGAAAGAAACGGAGGACAAAGATGCGGTCGTGCCCAGACCCTTCCCCGGGAGCCTGGCGCTGGGACAATCGGTCGCACGGAGGGCGGGGTGGGGGGGGCGCACCTGGGGCCGGGTCCTGCGGGGCTGATCTCGGGTACCCGGGCCAGCCTAGGCTCTGGAAGCTGCGGAGCCCAACCGTCCCGGGCCTGGGGAGTACACAGATTCCCGGACTCGCCCCGGACCTGCCGGATCCGGAGCCTGAGGGTCTGGTCCTTCGGCGTGTAAAGCGGGCGACGGCGAGGCTCTGCTGTGCCCGCACCCAGCCCCGCGCGCTGCGCTGCCCTCTGGCGGCTCGGGAGCGCATGTAGCGGGAAGGGGCTGTGGCGACCGCGCCCTACTCGGCTCTGCATGGTTCTGTGAGACGAGTGGGGAGTTCCAACAAGAAGCCCTCCGGGATTGCAGCTTCAGAAAGCCCCATATGTGAGGGGAGGGCCCCCTACCCGTAGTATCCCGGTCCGGGCTGCATTCCAGGTCTTCTCTCCGGGTCTTGGCACCACCCATCACCGTTACTAGTATACCCTGTGCTGCCTTGGCCCTCGCTGCTGACCTCTCCTACCGCAGGACCTCACCCCAGGCCTTTCTGTCCCTCCCGTCCTTAATGGAGAGGGCCTCTTCCAGAGACCCACACACACCCAGGGAGAGTCTGTGATCCACCCCACACAGTGCGAACAATGCCCCTGGAAGCCCTTGAAGGTCGTGCTGGAGACAGCCGCTGGTGTCACCTTTGACCCCTCTCGCCCTTTCATTCAGCACCACGGCCTGCTGACATAATCACCGGTGGGTTCCCCCCAGGGAAGCGCACTGCCCAGGGGGCCTTGTCTGTGCAGAGGGAGGCTCAGGTGCCTCCTCCCCAAGTTCTGGTCATTTGTGTTCTGTTCTCTGGATGGGGGTGCAGCTTTGAGGGTCCGGGGGAATGCCACAAAAAGAAAGGGGGCCTGGGTGGGATGAGGGGAGCCCCTCCCCCTGTGGCAGGAGAGCAGAGCTGAGGCCTGGAGGACGTGGGTGGCGAGGAAGGGGTGCGGTAGCTGGAACAGCTGCATCCTAAGCCAGACTGTGGCAGACTTGGTGTGGACTTCTTGTGGCCTTGGGCTCTTGGGCTCCTTCCCACTCCTCAACCCCTTCACGCCCCCATCCAAAACAAAAACAAAAACACACTGATCCACAGGCCCTGACACTCCAGTTGGCCAGCTGGTCCTGGTGGGGCAGCCTTGCAACCCAAATGCCCAAGAGAGACAGCAAGGGCAGATCCCAGAGGATGGCCTGGAGCAAGGTGCCCCACCCCCTCTCACTTTGGCCCAAAGGCATCACCCAGCACACAAAACATTCAGCTTCATCTCGTCTTCTCTGGCCCACGCTTTTCTCCAAAGGCCAACGGCTGGACAGCAAGAACCGAGCAGTGACTCCGCAGCCTTCCATGTTAAGTGTGGGGTCCACTCGAGTCTTCCTGCCTCACTCCAGGAGGTCAGACCCCAGAGGGGTCTTCGTGTTTGTGGATGTGGGCGAGCTGTCAGTTCTGTGCACTTCCCTTCAAAGGCCAAACGAAAGCTCTTCCCGCAGGCGGCTCTGGGTCCCCTTCCTGCAAGCAGGAGCAATCCTTGCAGATGTCCCCAGGCCACAGGGTCCCAGGCATGGGCCTGCCAGGGCCTCCTGAATCTGCTGGGCTCAAACCATCACTATTCTGCAAATTTTTAAAGAACCTCAGAGTGGCACAAGGCTTTCTCAGCATTCCACAAAGCTGAAAGCCACCATGTAAAAGACTGCCAGCCCTGGCCGGGCAGCTCAGTTGGTTGGAGCACTGTCCCGTGCACCAGAGCTGGCGGGTTTGTTCCTAGTCAGGGCACATGCCTGGGTTGCAGGTTCAATCCCAGTCAGGGCATGTACAAGAGGCAACCAATAGGTATTTCTCTTTCTCTTTCCATCTCTCTCCCCCCATTCTTCTCTAAAATCAATAAGCATATCCTCACATGATGATATTAAAAAAATTTTTAACCCTGGCTGGTGCGGCTCAGTAGATTGAGCACCAGCCTTCAAACCAAAAGGTTGCTGGTTCGATTCCCAGTCAGGGCACATGCCTGGGTTGCAGGCCAGGTCCCCATTTGGGGGGCGTGTAAGAATTAACCACACACATTGATGTTTCTCTCCCTCTCTTTCTCCCCCTCTTTCCTTCTCTCTAGAAATAAATAAAATATTTTTTAAAAAATGTTTAAAGATTGCCAAATGTGACTTCGGAAAAACTCCATGGCAACCGTCACCATAAGCAAAGTCAACAACCAACCAGGAACAGAACATCTGCAACTCCCATCACCACCAGTTAATTTCCCTCACACATCGACAGCATCTAGAAATAGAACAGGAGCCAAACAGCAATGGTGGGGGAAACACGGCCGAGGTGAGGAGCTGACGGTTCACGGGAAACACAGGTGACTTTTCAACACCTGAAAACGTGTCCCCCCTTATTCCTGGTAAGAAATTACGACATTAAAAACGTGGGGACACAACCAAACTAGGGTGCCATCATAAAAGGACGAAGCGAGGGACCGCGGGATGAACGTGGAATGTTCTTCAAAGACACACTGTTAACCAGAGGACGAGGAGCCGATGGGAGTCGTGCATCAACCAACGAGTGTGTAAAACCACAAAGGAGTGAGCAGACACACGTTTGTATGCGGTGACAATTTGAAATGTGTATTATCTATGCCGGAGAAAAAATCTTAAATGATCACTCACAACCCTGGTCCTTGACTCTGTGGCGAGTAGCAGACCACGGAAATCTTTGCTCTTTTTCCGCAGGGGAAACAAATACCCTCTGCCGGACTCAGGGGACACCTCTGTGATGATGGGGTGGCAGGAACCCCATGGCTGTGCTGCCTGCCTCCCCCTGGTGGCCACGCTTGTGAATTGCAGGCATGATGCCAATACCCTGAAGCCCAGAGGAGAGTTCCAGGCCAGACTTCCTGAAGGCGCGCGTCCAGGGAAGCCAAAAACTTGTCAATTCCTCAGCACTCACCCTAAATTAGTTTGAAAAAATAATGCATGCCTTCCTTATACACGGAAGAAGATTAATGCTCTGCCTTATAGGTTGGGAGACTTTCCTTTAGAAAACTCCTGAATGGAAGAATATTCATTTTCTTTCATTCCTAGGCTGGGCGTATAAGTGTGTTTGATGGACAAAGACACCGTGCTCTCTCTGGGGAGGGCAGAACAGTTCCCCTCCCATAAAGCTGCTGCTTGGCACAAGCCTCGAGGGGTCTCGCCGCTCACCGATCTTGTCCATTCCAAGCACGTGAACCCCTGCCTAACCCTGCATCCTGTGTAGTTAGAAGTGCCCAGACCCACGAGCCTGGGGCCCTGTCTGAATTCCTGTGTCTGCACAGCACCAGCCAGGTCAAGGCTCGGGTACGAGTGAGGAAGTCAGCCTCCAAGATCCCCAAGGTCCAGGATGCACAGGAAGAAACGTGGGGTAAGCCACCGCGTGGTGGTCTCTGACTCTCTTACCTTCAGGATGCGAGTCCCTGGGGAAGCTCGCTACCCAGCTCGTGTGCTCTCAGGCATTTCCCCAGCCCGGGCTTTCCTTCAGAAGACGCAGACATGCAGGGTGGGAATGCCTTTGATGCCGTGGAAGCAAAGTTCCTTCCTAAAAAGTAAATACCATTTATTTTTTTTTGGACTTAAGTACTGTGAAGGGGACCCACTTCCCATTGAGCCTGGAAGCCGTAAGGTCAAGCCTAGGGCTGCCAGAGCCTGTGGTGAAGGGGGGCCTACTGGAGAGTGGGGCTAAGCTACAGGCAAGCAGGGCTGAGGATGGCAGCCCTGGATCCAGCCGAGCCTGACTGCCCCGCAGCTAGGCAGTTGTAGTTGTTTTTTTAAATTAATTTGAGAGAGAAACTGATGTGCTGTTCTGCTTATCTATGCATTCATTGGTCATGTCTTGTATGTGCCCTGCCTAGGGATCGAACCGGCAACCTCGGCAAATTGGCACGACACTCCAACCGCCTGAGCCACCCAGCCAGGGCCACAGATCGATGTTTAAGTCTGTCTGAATTGAGTTCCTGGCCCCCCCACCCCCCACCCCCGAAACCTTAAGAGCCAGGGGGCAGGAAGACGGTGAGAACCAAGATTTCGGCGTTGTCTCCAGCACCTGTAAGGGCAGGGAGAAACACAGCCACAAGATTCCAGAAAGAGCGGTGGCACTTATTGTCACGGGGCCTCTTCCCATCCCAGGAACAGTCTCCCGTGGTCACCTCTGGAACCTTGGACATGCATTTCAGAAGGAACTTAAAGAACTGAATACAAAACAAAAAGGGCTAAATACATAAAGCTCGTGGAGGAGGAGGCTCAGGGAGGTTTTTGGGGCTCTGCCTTCCGCAGCTGGACTGAATGTTGGGGGGGGACGGACCTCACTGGGCCTGAGTCACTGCATCACAGGTAGGGTGGGGCAGGGGGGAGGGTCAACTGCGGGGGGGGGGAGGGGTGACCCAGGAAGTGCTTTGCCACACCTGGGCTCTTCGGTGACCTTCGACACTGCCCGGACTCACGCGATGGCTTTCAGGACCCAGAGCTGAATGACCTGCCCCTGGCTCAGAGCCCCTCCCCTTTCTCTGGTCCGGCTGTACCGGGTTTACACCAGATTCACCACGTTTCCCACATCAGAACTTCCCACATCAGAATGACCCAGGCCGTTCTGCAACGTCTGGCAACGTCTGGAGCCCCTTCGGTTGTCACGGGTGGGGCCGAAGCTTGTGGCATCTAGTGGCTAGAGACCAGGGACACTGCTAAACATCCTACCATGCACAGGCCAGGCCAGTCTCCACACGCCGAGTGATCTGGCCGAGTCCAGCCGTCAGCGGGGCGGAGACTGAGCAACCCTGCCATGGTATCTTCTGATCCCATTATTTACATGGAAAAATCTTGTCAGTGTACAAAAGTTCACCGCAAGCAGGGAATGACTTCAAATAAAGGAAAAGAAGCATTGGCACATTTCTAGGCTATGAGAAAAGAGAACCAGACAGTGGCAGGGCTGTGGCTCCCGCTGCCCCTGGGTCTGTGGGAGGCAGGGTCTTCCTCAGGGCCCACCTGGGTGCCCTGCCAGGGAGACGCTGATCACACGGCAGCACCTGTGAGTTTCCCTGGTGACGCTCATGCCCCGCCCCTCCACCCCAGCCCCAGGCCTAGAGCTGACTGTCCCATGTCCATGTGCAAATCGCTGGCCCAGGACCAGGCGGGT